AGCATCATCCGATTTCAGCATCATCCCCGACATTTAATAATATAAATTATATATAAAAAAATCTATAAAATTTATTTAAAATTATTAATTTTATAATGTTTAGACATGGTAAACTTCCTTGGAAACGTCTTCTTGAACCTTCAATTAGAATTGCTCGAGAAGGATTCCCTATCCCACTTGAATTATATGTTACTATGAAGGTACGTACTTTTAATTTTACAATTATTGTTAAGATGTTACAGACATCTTACGTATAAATTTTTTGGTCTTTACGTTCAATAAATTCAATAAAAGATGTATTTATACAAAATCGAACACAACAAAGAATTATGTGACATCTTTTGTGATGAGAATGGCAATTTAAAAAATCTAGGCGATATTATGTATCGAACTAATTATTCTAAATCATTGGAAAAAGTTGCCGAGGATGTCAATGAATATTATGAGGTATATATTATTTATATGTTATTATTATTATTATTATTATGCATGTTATATTATTTCATTGTATTTATTAATCTTTTTTTTTATAATTAAAGGGTTCAATCGCAAGATCTACTGTCGACACAATCCAAAGTAGAGGTGGCATAATAACCATGGAAGATTTGGCTGCCTATAGACCTACTATTCGCGAACCTCTTATAGGATATTATCAAGGACGAAAGGTTTGCCATCACATTAATATAATAAAAATACAATAAGAAAGACTTTTCATAAATTAATTATATAATATTTTTTTGATTTTTTTTGAAACTTTATAAAAATATAGATCATAACATCTCCTGAACCTGGTAGTGGAACAATCTTATTATTCTTGTTAAATGTTTTGGAAGAATACAAATTCCACGAAGCTGGTCGTACTATTTTAAATGCTCAAAGAATGGCTGAAGCATTCAAATGTATGCAAGATTTTTATTTTATACTTTATATATTATACACATAATCCTAATAATTTATACTTATAATCCTAATAATTTATACTTATAATCCTAATAATTTATACTTATAATCCTAATAATTTCTACTCTATTTCTCTTTTTTTCACAATCACTATGAAAT